AGCTATTCAAGTACGGCGGCGAGGATTTGATAAGGTGTATGCATCAAGTATTGTGCAGAATATGGTCAGATGAACGCATGCCCGACGACTGGAATTTAAGTGTGAAAGGTGACCCCGCCATTCGCGCCAACTACCGCGGGATCAGCCTTCTAAGCATAGGATACAAGGTTTTATCGAGCGTATTGTGTGAAAGACTGAAGCCCACCGTCAACGAACTGATTGGGCCTTATCAGTGTGGATTTAGACCTGGAAAATCCACCATAGACCAGGTATTCACAATATGCCAAATCTTGGAAAAGAATCGCGAGAAAAGGATCGACACTCACCACTAATTTGTCGAATTTAAAGCCGCTTTGGAGAGCACTAAAACGAGTTGCCTATACGCCGCTATGTCTGAATTTGGCATCCCCTCAAAACTCATACGGCTGTGTAAAATGACGTTTAGCAATACCACCAGCTCCGTCAGAATTGGGAAAGACCTCTCCGAGCCGTCCGCCACAAAACGGGGTTTCAGACAGGGCGACTCCCTTTCATGTGACTTCTTTAACTTGATGTTGGAGACGCTAAAAATTGCTGCAGAACTGAACCACTCAGGAACAATTTACTGCAAGAGCATGCAGTTGCTGGCGTATGCAGACGACATCGACATCATCGGTAACAAAAACCGTGAAGTCTGTTCTGCCTTTTCCAAGTTGGATAGGGAAGCAAAGCGAATGGGTCTGGTGGTAAACGAGGACAAGCCGAAGTATCTCCTGTCATCAAACAAACAGTCAGCATATTCGCGCCTTGGCACCAACGTCTTTGTTGATAGCTACAATTTCGAGAAAGTAGAGAATTTCGTTTACTTGGGAAGCAGCCGATAATAATGTCAGCATTGAACGCAGAATCACTCTTGCCAACAAGTGCTAGTTTGGACTGAGTAGGCAATTCAGTAGTAAAGACCTCTCTCGACGTACGAAAGCCACGCTCTATAAGTGACTCATCATGCCCGTGGTGGTATATGGAGCAGAAGCATGGACAATGACAACATCCGATGAGGCGGCTCTTGGTGTGTTTGAGAGAAGGATTTTGCGGAAGATTTACGGGCCTTTACGCGTTAGCGGCGGCGAGTTACGCAGACGATGGAACGATGAGCTGTATGAGCTTTACAACGATATGGACATAGTGCAGCGAATTGAAATACAGCGGCTCCGCTGGCTTGGCCATGTCGTTCGAATGGACACCAACGCTCCAGCTCTGAAAGTATTCAACTCGGAACCCGCTGGTGGTAGCAGAGGAAGAGGGAGGCCCCCACTGCGATGGAAAGATCAGGCGGAGAAGGACTTGGCTTCACTTGGCGTTTCCAATTGGCGTCAGTTGGCACAGAGGAGAAACGACTGGTGTGCTTTGCTGAACTCGGCCAAAATCGCTTAGGCGGTTACAGTGCCAAAAAAGAAGAAGAGACGTGGTTGAACGGAAACTTTTTCAGCGAGGAGTACTTTGATACTAACAATTACAACGTCTTTTGCAAGGATAGAAATACTAATTGAACTGGATTCGCTAGAGGCGGGGGGGTTCTCATCGCAATTCAATGCAAGCATCACGCTTCTCTTGTAGTACTTGAAAACAAGGATGCGTTGCTCGACCAACTTTGTGTGCACATCCGTGGGAATTCTCATTCTGTTTTTGTTCGTGCTTCGTATATTCCGCCTAGCAGTGGCCACAATATCTACACAGCTCATGTGGACAACGTTCTAGCCTTGGCTTTGAACAAAGTAGGTGAATATCATATTTTCGCCCTGGGTGACTTTTACCTATGTAATGTGAACTGGCCAAAAACTATTGCCAACTCAGCTCTTATAGCATGCGATGTCAATAGTCCAAGTGAAATTTACTTAGTGGATAGCTCTTTAAGTGTCGATATTACGCAAATTAACTCTTTTCAGAATAACCTTGGGCGCACTTAAGATTTGATATTTTTAAGTAAAAGTGTAAATTTTTCTTTGAATGTAATTTATCTATTATAAAATCGGATATGCATTATGTACCTCTAGTTCTCGATCGTGAATTTTATGAATATTCTAAAACTATTAATGTTAATTCAGATTTATCTTTTAATTTTTTGCGATGCGATTTTTTTGAAATTGAATAATCTCTTGTTGAGCATTAGTTGGGACAGCTTGCTCCGTCATCTTAACATTTCTGAGTGTTTTGAGGTTTTTAGAGCCACTGTCGCAGACGTTTGGAAAAGTGTAATTCCTCTGCTAACAAAGAAGCAATATAAAGTACCTTGCACAGTGCGGTCTTGATTAAACTTCGAAATAAGAAAATCAAATTTCGACGTAAATTCAAAAAAAGTCAATATTCTGCTTTTTTCGATTTATATAAAGAATATAATAAAAAATTCGCATGCTTGGATAAACTTTTACACCAATACTATGTCTTAAGTTTTGAAGAAAGTTTAAAATCCAATCCGAAAGCGTTTTGGAACTTTGTTAATGTGAAGAAGTCTACTTTTAATATACCGTCTTCTCTTTTCTTAGGCGACAAGCAGTTAATACTCCAGCAGATGCCGCTAATTTCTTTGCTTAGCTTTTTATGTCGAAGTTCGCATCTCTATCTGATAGTGAAGAAAATGTTTTCTTCGATATACAACCATCTATCGACCTCGGCCAGCTGGTGTTGTCCACCGAAGATGTTTTCAGCGGGATTGCATTGTACAAGCGGTGTGGTTCCTTAGTTAATCTATTGGTGTTAATATTCAACAAATCCCTATCTTCTGGTACTTTTACTGATGCTTGGAATTCATCTCACCTATTTTTAAGAGTGGTACTAAAAACGATATTAGCAACTACAGGCCTATTTCAAAGCTTACCGCCACGGCAACGCTTTTTGAGTGCATCATCCAAAATAAATTGCTTTTCTTTCCAGACCGCTCAACAATATCTAACTTATTGCCCAGTTATGCATACTTAGCGTTGTATGAGAGTTGTCACATAAGAATCTGTTAAATGGACTTTGTGTGTAAGCGGTTACCAAACGCATAGCACTTCACATGTAGAATTCTGTTGGGTTTTGATTTTTAAGTAAAAATGGTATAGCAGTGCAAGTATGCATAACTGGGCTATTAGCTGTCTTCGCAGACGTTTGTATCGCAGCCTTTCAATCAGGGTATCAAGTTGTCACCGTTTATACAGACTTCTCTAAGGCTTTTGATCAGTATTCCTTAGATGGATCGCTTCTTACTGGCACACTCGTCGTTGCATGTTTGTTGTTGACAACGTTAGACCTCTTCCATTTGTTGCTTCTTCTGGGGTACCACAAGGTAGTATTCTGGGCCCGTTGTTTGTTTTGTTTATCAACGACATTTTCTCTTGCTTCGCGTCGGCAAGATTTTTGCTATATGCGGATGACCTTAAGATCAACTCGTTGATCAGAAGCTATCATGACTCTGCATTGATGCAAATCGATTTATATAATGTAACTGGTGTAAAAATATTCGTTTGTTCCTGAACATAAACAAGTGTTTCCATTTGACATTTTCTAAGCGTGCCAACGTTATTGACTCCTATTACCATGTATCTAACTCGCCCCTGGCACGGGTGAGTGAAATTAAAGATTTGGAAGTAATATTTGATTTCAAGCTTGTATTTACAAGCCACATAAATTTTGTTATTGCGAAATCTTACGCCATGCTTGCTTTCGTCAAGCGTCATCGCTCGGATTTCTACGATCCCTATACGCTAAAGCTTTTATATATTGCCCTTGTGCGTTCCAAACTGGAGTATGCCTCCTTCATTTGATCTCCATATTATACGTGCCATGCTACTAGTGAACGGATCCAGAAAGTATTCTTATACTTTGCGTTGCGTAATCTACGCTTCTCGGATTATATCCCCACCTATGAATCACGATGATTATCGATCAACTTAAAATCATTGCAGAACAGAAGGATAACTCTATATTAGTCTTTCGTTTTCGATTTGATCCGCGGTGATATTGACTGTCCGTCCTCCTTGAGAGGAATCTCTTTAATATTTCGGCTAGAGCACTTCGTAGTTCGGAGTTTTTCTATGTTGGTCTTTTTAAAGCTCTTTATGCTCTTTATGAGTTCAATAAGGGCTCGAGTAATAGTGATAGATTTTTCATTTTTCATTTCATTATTGAGTTCAATAGAATCTCTAAATTCATTGTGATAGATTTTTCATTTTCAAAATATCGCTTTTGGAAATCTTTGAATACTTTTCATAAGTAGTATATTTAGTCATAATTTTCGTTTTTTTTAACTCAAGGCGAATTTATATAAGGTGGTGTTACTAGATCAGCTTATTTTGTGTATGTGTTTCGCCTCACGGCTTCTTCCCACCATGCAAAACATGAGAAATAGGCAACAATCGTCAATGGCAACAAATTGGCGACTCACCGATTTATTGCTGTGGTGACAAATCGGCAACATCACTTCGTTCATGTCAATTTGGATAAAAAAAGTTCTCAAAAATTCCGAAACTTATGAATATGGCGTCAATAGTATTGGCCAAAAGCATCTAAATTATGCCCAAGGACAAGATTGAAAAAATAGAAAGTCGCACAGCGAGAAAATGAATTAATTCCGATTGTAAGTTGCAATTTGGTACAAAAAAATAAATGAAGTATTAAAAAGAATAAAATTATTCCAAAAATCGCCTGAAGCGATAAGAAAAGGACTCATTCAGGTAATAAGAAAACGACTCGCCCAGACGAGTTGCCTTCGGCGGACGTTTTAGAGCGACCGGTAATAGGAAATAATATAAATAAATTTGTTTCCGAGGGCGACACGTTTTCTTATTGCTGGCAACACAAATTGTTTGGTGGGTTATGTCAAATTGAAAAATTTTGTTTGTATTTCCACACACACTCTTACAGATTTTGACAGTTTATGCCGCCAAAGCAAAAACAAAATACATGTATGTTTTTGTTACGGTACTCCTGCTATCACCTTATATAAATTCGCCTTGGTTTAACTTGTGCATACATATGTCTACTTAGCCTATAAGAATTTTTTTTATTCATTGGCTTAATAAATAAATAAATAAAAGTAGTGAATAACAATCGTATACAAATCTTACCAGGGGATTGCCTGGAATCCTTGGCAGCTGTACCAGATTGTAAAATATTATTTGCGATGGAATTATCTTCCATATTAGTTAAGCGCCTTCCTGGAGCTGCGGGACAGCTATTTAAATTTAAAGCACAATTTCCATTCACGGTAGGTAAACTTGCTGCCATCGGTGATGTTATATTTTCCTCTTCATTGCGAAGCGCGCTGACAACGCTAGAAACGCTAGAAGAAGATGTGTATGTGTTGCCAATTGCTGTTTGGATTTGCGCTGTCGTAACCACACGGTGTACTGTATACATCGTATGCCCTGACGCTGCCGTAGTAGCCATAGAGACCCTGTCAGAATCTTTTGCGGTTACAGCAGACAAGGAAGAAACTGGTTCGTGGTTGCTACAGGTCTGATTTCCCAAATATTTTGTTTGAGTGGATACTGCAATTAATCGGACCTTTTTTTGAACACAATTAAATGACTCATCTATTTCGTCAATAAGAGCATTCGAACTACGAGCTGATTTGTGTTGAAAGTGCAGTTGGCGTAAAAGATTTTGTATTGCCTGTAGTTGATGCTGGAGTTGTGGTTGTTGACGGAATTAAGAAAGTATTGACCTTCTAACTGCATTGAAGGGGATATCGACGCAAAACCCAGTAGTCCATGGGCACCCGCAGCTAAAATATATTCTTGGCACTTGAACGTGTGGTAATACATATGTACGTGGCCTGTAAATACATTCAACATTAATGAATTACAAAAGCATTAATTATGTTAAAATTTATTTTTATTATTGCCATGTATACATTTGTATACATAGGTTACATTTCCATTATGTATGCATTTCGTCGAAAGTGGTTAACTACAATACGTGTTTGGCAATACTTTGCAGTACACGTAAGCGTAATTAAACAAGACAAAGCGTATAATAATTGTAATGTGACCTTGATACCTTTCTTTTGATACTAAATATTTTTTACTAGATATTTTTCTTCGGTACCGAGCAAGTATCGAAAACACACAATTTATATTACATTTGTCGTTGGCTCGGTAACTTAACAAATGACACCCGTTATTTGAGGTAAGGCGAAATTCTTTTTCCATAAATAGTTGCGTTTCCAAAATTAGCCAACAATCAAAATCAAGAGAGTAAGCGAAAATTCTCTCCCACAGAGATGAAAAAGCAAAAAAGTAAACGAACAGGAAATTAGCCATTACTTGCAAAAACCGGAAGAAGAAGACACACCAGCTGACTCTGTTTATGTTTTATTTGTAAACAAACTGAAATTTATGTTGCCTCCATAGAAGAAAAAAGGAAAGTGAACGTTCAATGTTCGCCAGGAACATTCCTAGAAGTAAAAACTAGTTGGCGCTATCATAAAGTCACATAGCAGGCAGCCAAAAAGCATATAAATACCAAAACTCGGAAAATGCAATTTTGTTTGTTTACAGAAATTGCAACCATATGTTTTGTGATCATATGTTTTCGTGTTGGATAATTTTTGCTGACTAAAATTTTGCCAGTACAAAATGAACGCTTCTCTCGCATCAAAATGAACGCTTGCTCTCTCAATTTTTGTGTGTTGGATAATTTTTTGTCGTTATCGAACGCCATCCAGTAAAAATTTGTTAAACAGTGTAATATTATGTTTGGATTAAAATGGACCAAAATGCTATGTTGTTAATGGTAGCTTTTTAATATGACTTGTTTGCATATTTTATTGCTAAAAGTTAATGTTATGTAATCTAGACCCTTAAAACAATACTTTAACCCTAGAGTACTAACCATGTTTTACATACGTTAGTACTAATGATTCGTCCAAATAAAAGTAAACTGGCGCTTACACAATATGCTAGTGTTTGGCCGAGCTTCGCTTCCGATTTGTGGCGTGCGTCTTGATGTTGTAAAACAGTGCCGGCCACACTAACACCAAAACATTTGCATAAGTGTGTGTGCCAACCGGAGTGCGCGCTTCAACAGTGGATCTAAAAAAAAGTGAACTTGTGACATGGTGAAATCAAAAACAATTTTTTTTCAGATTCTTTTTTTTTATTTGCAATACGAGCGTTTGCCTTGCGTTTGATGTGTATACACTCAGAAAAAACACCATATCTGGAACAAAGAAAACTTTCCTTACTTAAAAAAAAATCTCCCCAATGAGTAATTTTTCTTTGGAATGTGTAAAAACGTACACGAAAATATGGAACCCTGGTGTTCATTTTGGTGTAAGCTATCATTTTGAAGAAATGTTGGGCATGAAAGGAGGATAAGACTGCTTTAGTGCTATTTCGTTCCCCTTTTTCTTCATTTTGATTGCTGTTTTTCTTCAATTAAGAGAAGGTTTTTTGAGTGTACACGTCATCAGAAGTTAACTGGTTAAACCTTCATTTTACATTAAGTAATTTATGTTTATTTCTTTGTCATATAATTTTATTCGCATTAGGTCTTGCAGATGACTATCACTGATGGAATTGCGCCATTGGGTTTGAATAAGTTTCATTTGTGAGAATGCAGCCTCACAGTTGTATGTAGATCCAAACATGCTGTATAGTTTCAAAATTTCAATTATAATTTTTGGGTATTTTTCTGCACTAAGATTTTTCCAAAAAGGTTCTCCACTTCCCAATGGTAAATTGAAATCTAAGCGCATTCTCTGCAATTCACCACGAAGGTCTGGGTTTAGTTGTGAAATTTCGCAGTTTATTGGATCGTTATGAACATCGATTACATTCGAATAATTTTAAAATCTTGGAACCTACTCTGTAAATTTTTTAGGAGTGACTCGGTGACTTCAGCATATTCATTTATTTTTCTACTTCGAAACGGCTGGTTTTGTATTTGGTCAAAAAATTCAGTAGTTCTGAGCAGACAAGAACAATCTCTATTTTTAAGTTGTGTAACTAATATTGATAATTTTCTTTCAAACTGAGTTATGTATAATAAGAGGTCAAAAATATGTTTTTTTTGTCCTTGCATAGCAAGGTTCAACTCATTTATTAAATGTGTTATATCAATTAAAAATGACAGTTCTGAGATAAAATCTTCGTTTCTAATTGCATCTGCAAATTATTTTTCATTATTTTGCTCCAGAAACAGCTTAACCTCTTCCCTCAAAGTAAAAAATCGATCCAAACTTTTGCCGCGACCAAGCCAACGTACCTCTGTGTACATGCATAAGTCCCCATAATCTGCCCCGAGATCTTTCAGAAACTCCCTAAATTGTCTATGGGTTAGCGCGTGGTGAAAAAAATTCACAATTTTCTAAAAGGAGTTTGAGTTCGGATAAAATATAACCGCTTATTTTTTCGGTTCTACGCGTAATGGTCTGTCTGGACAATGGAACAGAATTTAAAATGTCACATATTTTTTTGCCCTCCCCTTCGAAACATGCAATAAACTCTTTCGCAAGAGATTTAAAAAATTCCCCATCTTCATATGGGCGGCATTGTTTTGCTAAAAACAAAGCAATGACAATGCTGCCTTCTTAATTTCATAATTCCTTTTCCCTCTGTTTTCACCTGGGACATCGTCAAAAAATAATTTCTTTTCTGATTCGCTAAACAAATTCAATTTTTCTGAATCGGAAAGGGAAGCTACCTCTTTGTGATAATTAATAAAAAGGCCTTTGTAAAGAAAAAAGCCTTTTCGAAGTGAAAATTCGCTCGCAAAGCAAGCATAGCAGCATATTTTTCTTATTATATGTACAAAAAGTAGCATGGACGTTTACTTTTGAGTTCATTGTTTTTATTTGTAAACATGCGCAACAGTCTTAAGGCTCTGTTATGCATACTTGGCATTGCTTGAGAGTTGTCACATAAGGAATCTGTTAAATGAGCTTCGCGTGTAAGCGGTTACCCAACGCACAGCATTACATACGTAAAAGTCTGTTGGTTTTTGATTTCTACGTAAAAATGGTATAGCAGTGCATGCAATGCCAAGTATGCATAACAGAGCCTTTACTTCTTTAAAAGTTAAACAGCGACTGAGAAGCAAAAGCATAACTTCGTGCTTACTCATCGTTAAGGCTCTGTTATGCATACTTGGCATTGCATGCACTGCTATACCATTTTTACGTAGAAATCAAAAACCAACAGACTTCTACGTATGTAGTGCTGTGCGTTCGATAACCGATTACACGCGAGGCTCATTTAACAGATTTCTTATGTGACAGCTCTCAAGCCATGCCAAGTATGCATAACGGAGCCTTTAGCGTTGGTGTGAAAATACGAAGGCAAACTACACAATGTGCAAGTTTTGGCCGGCTCTGTTGTAAAATAAGGAGGAGGGATCTACAGTTTTGCGCCGACTCCGAACGGCGATTGTATTTTTATGAGAAGCTGTTTTTCATGACTGAATATACTCGGTGGTTTGCCATTGACTGCCGAAGGCGACCACTATTACAAAATACGTTTTGTTGATGTTGTTCGGAAACTGGGCTTAAACCCAGTCCCTGCGGAATGGTAGCGCACACTGCCAACTACTACACCACACCGCAAAGTGGTCCAATCTGCTCTATTAGGGTAATTTAATTATTACATTAAGAACTAAGATTGATATCGGGATGAAATTTTGCACAAATTATGTCTGAATGACTAACAACTTCTGCTCATAAAATGGGCAAGATCGAATAGCGACCACGCCTACCAACCAAATAATTTAAAAATCGTTAAATTTTTCGTCAATTTCTGGTACATTTTTTAAGAACTTGGGCACGGTTATAGATACCAGTCCGTTATGTATATACTGTATTGACGCCGGATCCGAATCAGCCACCTAATCTATATATCTATATATATAAAAATGAAATGTTTTCCGTATGACGGCGATGCCTGACCAAACAGCTTAACCGATTTCAATTCTGTAAAAAGGACTTTTTTGGACCTTTTCTGTAGAAGGTTCTTTGATTTAAAAAAATTTGAAATTTTTTGTTGTTGCCGAAAAATGAAGAAAGCTGAGACGTCACGATTTCACAATTTCATAGAGTTTTCCGTATATTGAATGTCACTAAACTACTAAACGGCTGGACCGATTTCGTTCATATTTGGAAAATATTTCAGCATCTTGAAGGGAAATATTTCGACTAAAAATTTAATCGCTAGGTGGCGCTGGGGTCGGGATATTCATAAAAATTGCATTTACTTGCTGATTTGGCTGATATTTAGAAAACAATTTAGCCAATTTAAAAGAAATATTTGGACTTGAAACTTACACGATAGGTGGCCCTGTGGCCAGAAGGAGAAGGATATATCTACTATATATTTGTGGAAGTATGTATGTATGTGACAGGTTGCAGCCTAAACGGACGGACAGAATCGAACAAAATTTTGACAGAGTATTGCCATGACACCTGGGCCTATAAAAGGTAAAAAATTGGGATTCGACAAGGGGGTGTGGCACCTCCCATAGGCGTGAAATTTTTAATCAGCCACATGAACTTGGAATTTGGTATACAGTCATATATGTGGTGGGTGCTTACAGTAGAGTATATATAAATGAATTTGTAAAAGTGGGCGTGGCACATTCCATAGGCGTGAAATTTGTTATCAATCATAACTTCGGAACCATAAGTCACATGAACTTGAAATTTGGTATAGTCATAT